AACAAATAATTAACCTATTAACATTTCTTGTCCAGTACCTTCTATATCAATGATTTGATTCAGGTACCTACCTTTATTGAATTCATACTGAAAGTTCAAGCTTCCATACAATATTTTAAAGATTCCGAAGAAGCAAAGATATCTTGGAATGAAACATGTTTGCTATGATGATATCATCAAGTTTGTGTTCTCAATAACCTCCTGAAACAATAAATAATGTATATGAATGTATCAATATTTCATGTCCGGTACTATCAATGATTCTATTTAGTATTTACTCACCATTGTTTCTTGCTACCTGAGAGAAATGTCATCAACAGAGATTATCATCCTTTTGTTATTGTTATCTTTTAATTCTGTGCAATAAGTTCTTCTCGCAATCATTTTGTGAAATAGAAATTTGATGAAGGTATTCAATGAATACTCTAATAATTTTGATATACCTAATCATTAATATATTATGATGTTTCTTGAACAAATCATGACTATCATGAGACATAACCTCAATTCTAGTTCTTCTTTTTCTCCTTTTTGTCTTCGATGACACGTTATTTCATGGAATGTCATCTGAAGACGTCCGTAGGCACGAAATTCTTTACATCCTCAGGCTGTCACTGAAAGAACTCATTTAGGACAATTACAGCGCTAAATTTACGCCTGATGATGTTCTTAGGTTGTAGAAAATAGAACGTCCTCTCCAGGCGTTTGGCGACACATTGAGGATGACCTTAGACGAGTGTGTGCTATCTGGGTAAATGAACAATAAATAATATAAGGACCTGATAACAAATACCGACTTTACACATATGATTACCATTACGGCGAGTTCTTGTCAAGCCAAAAGTAACCTGAAACTGTTTTGTTAATCTGTGACCAGACTTCTTTCGGAACCTCGTTCGGAACCCTCATATCCAATATCAATTATAGGTTTGCATATTTCCCATGAGAGTCCTCGGTCAGTATTCATAGTTCAGTCTCAACCGATGATTTGATACAATGATTATTCGAAAAACCCCAATGATTTGAACTCACAGAAATTCCGTTTCTTGACACCATCAAGAGTATTGACGTCACTCAGATGCACCAATATGATTTCCAACCAATTAGAGGTGGAGTTCACATGCAAATAACTATTTTTGTTTTGAATTATTTGTATTAGAGAGATGAGTAGGAAACTAGAGTCACTGGATGGATATTGTAAGATAAGAGGTCGGACACAGAAATGACAAGTGGTTTTAAATATTTAGATTCATTAAGTTACACACCTTGCATTGTGACAGGAGCATCATCATAGTCGTCCCGCGCGTTTTTTTTTTAAATTGTTTGATTTTGACAATAACGTTAATGCACGTCAGAATGGAAATATAATTTCATGAACTATTGAGAAAGAAGCATAAATGAAAATGTCCTGCTGTGTAATGAATTGTGTGTTTTCTGAAGAGGATCGATTTCATTCATTTAATTTTCAAAAGGTAATATTAGCAGTTCTCTTATGAAAAACATATGAGTATATGAAACGGCCTAGATGGAAAATAAATTTGAAGACAAGCAAAATTTGTGAGGTAGGTACATTAGAATTAACTTCTAATAACCGCAGATTATGATGGAATTGTATTCAAGGCCCATTTCCAAACGACAGATTTCAAGATCCGTTTCCGATACCATTTTTTCATCGCTTGGTGCACACGGAAGGGAATCCTTTTACATAATGGAATTGAAAATTTGAGAACGAACCTGTTGTTAAATATGCGTTATTTCCACTGTTTCAACTGCTGTCCCTCGAAAAGTATATTTCTATAAATCAAAGTGGGTATTTTCCATCCCCGGCTATGATTGATTTGACAGAAAATCTAACCTATTGAATCGTAGCTGACAATCAGGCACTACTAGGGGAATTGAACAGAAAAAGAGCAGAATATGTGTCTTATTCTTTTATTAACTCAAGCCGATGTCATATATAAATTAAAAAAGGACAGAAGTTCAGCTGTGTCTGATTTCTTATACCATCCAGTTACTATAGAAAACTACAATCCATTGAAATGAAGCTATTCGAGTATTCAAACTTCCATAATGTTGCTCCTACATTGGTAGAGGTTTTTAGGTTGGAAACTTCCATCGAGCAGCAGTTTATTAAAGTCAACAGAATTAGAAAATATCCAATGCCATTCGAATCCATTCATCACTCTTAATTGATTCGGAAGTATGCTTGGCTTCTGTTATAATGATGTGGGCCGCGCAAATGCAACATGAGAGAGATAGGGTGAAAAATCAACTGAAAAACGTTACATCAGTATGGCCGACTCTTGGTGTGCTAACAGTGTTTCATGTTCAACGTTAATTTAGGCAGACACATTTGAGGGTGTAAATTGCAATTGAGGGCAAGCTTAAATATGCCGTATACCAACGTCAATTCAGCGAGATCAGCATCAACCATTATGAAGAGAGATTATTGAAATTTTCTATGCGAAAAACTCAAGTCGGCACTATTGCTAACTTGGTTATTATTAAAAATACAGTCAGTTGATTGGACAAACTGGTATGGTATTTTCTCCACTGATTACGATGACGATATCCAAAGAGAAATCTAACATCGCGTTAACAAGTTACTTCAAAATGTACAATTTATTTCTATATGACACTCAGTATACATTAGTATACAATATTCTCTATCGATGGGAAATTCGATTCTGAACAAGAAATGTTTTCTGGACGTTCGACCTAAATTCAAAAATGACGAAGCTATCGACGATCACATTTCACTTTGCAGATTAAATAATATGAATTTTAAAAACCCACAGGAGAATCATTACAAAAACACACGAAAATTAGAACTATTATATAGCGTAACTCACGGTCGATGGTACGTTAGACGTTTATGGAGAACGGGACAGAGGATCATTCTGAAATTCCAGTTACCCACGTAGTTGCTCTTAGTCCATCGATCTAAAATATTTTCAGCTCTCGGCGTTGCCGCTTCTATCGAAAAGTAGCAACAACTTTGTTATTTTAAATGGAACACCCTGTATTCTATTTCATTTTCAGATTCTCTCTGGAGAGCTGATTCCATCGATGCATCACACTTGGGGTCTACCGGAAATGATTACAGAGATATAGGGTGTGAAAAATCGTCATTCTTTAACTTTAGGAATTTTTTTTGTCGAAACTATTCCTCATTGGTCAAAACAGCTTACATGTCCCCATCTCAACTTTTGATTGACTATCTACTGATATTTAATTGGGACATATACCGGGTGATCAAGATTCTGAATTCTGCACGACCCTGTATTTGTTTCATACATACTCAAAACTGTACATGAACTTGACTGACAATTTCTATAATATGTTCAAGGTGCTATATTTCCTCTCCCCTCATAACTTTCCCAACTCTCATGTATATATATATATTCAGCCAGCAGTATCTGGTATACTTTATACTATTCAATCCAGGTTGATGACTGCAATACAAGCTCTGCTTAGGTAGCTATCAGCCTGGTCCGATATTTTTGAATCTATCAATACTCTGCTACTCTGTATGTAATTATGTATAATTATGTATGTATAAGCAATAAAGATTTCCAAATTTGACATATTCATCCCAACTAGTAGTCGTCGAAATTTTAATTCACCAGCTAGGTACATAATATCTGACAATTGTATATTTCCTTGCCGGCTTGTCACCACCGTAAGGCCCTCCGCACACGGGTCGATCGGCGACATGGGCGACGCGATTCGAATCGTACGACGGTCTCCCCTCTACTCGACTTCCTAAGCAAAGCATCTGGATCCCGCACACGGGTCGTTTAGTGGTCGTCTAGAAAAGTACGATTTAAGATCTCCTCGTTTTCAGTCTCACGCGATTAGCAAGGAAGCAGTTTAATCGAGTGAATCTTGCGTATCAATGGAGAAAGTTGTTCAATCATTGTGAATATTTGTGTTACCTACCTTAGTTCTTTACTTTCAGTAACTAGAACATATAATCTTATGTTTCCAATTCATACTCTCAACTTTAGGAACTGTTTGATTGTTTGAAATATATGAATCTTACATCAATGTTATTAGTATGCCCTCCGCACACGGGTCGATCGGCGACATGGGCGACGCGATTGCAATGACGTCACAATTTCTGCATTCGTACGATTCAAGAGACGGGAGTGTGTGTCATCCGCATATGGGTCGACGTTTTGTGTAGTCGACTCGCGTCTGATCAACTTAGTTACTCTATTTTTGGCAACTTCAAAAAGAAATGTTTCGCTAAAAATGAGCAGTTCCAATGGCGAGGAGGACATATTCATGTTTTTGTGGCACCGGCAGATCAGGAGAGGAAGAAGACAACGAAGTTTATGGGTGCATCCGTACATTGCACGAAATTTTCACACTCGACTTTTTGTTACTGCAAGTGAAATGCAAGAGAGTGACACAAAATTTCTGGCATTTTATAGAATGTCGAAGGAATCATATATTGATTTAGTGGAAACTCTTGCTCCAGCCATAAATTATATGGATTCAAATATGAGGGAATGTGTCAGCGCAGAAGAACACATACTAATAACATTGATGCAAGATTCATATATTTCAAAAAATAAAAAAGTTCCTAAAATTGAGAGTATAAATTGGAAACATAAGATTTTATGTTCTAGTTACTGAAAGCCTGAAAGTAAAGAACTAAGGTAGGTAACACAAATATTCACAATGATTGAAAAATTATTGAACAACTTTCTCCATTGAGACGCAAGATTCACTCGATCAAACTGCTTCCTTGCTAATCGCGTGAGACTGAAAACGAGGAGATCTTAAATCGTACGTTTCTAGACGACCACTAAACGACCCGTGTGCGGGATCCAGATGCTTTGCATAGGAAGTCGAGTAGAGGGGATACCGTCGTACGATTCGAATCGCGTCGCCCATGTCGCCGATCGACCCGTGTGCGGAGGGCCTATAAGTTAACCGCAGCCAACCGATGTTTCAGGGAGCATAAATCTCTAACCGGAACTGCCCGTTACATGAGCATAAACACTCATCTGGGCCACGAACAGTCCCGCAGGGATGATTTAGAGGCGATGGGCCACATGTTCATGTACTTTTTGAGGGGGTCGCTACCCTGGCAGGGACTCAAGGCGGATACGCTGAAGGTGAGTATTTGTTTTTTCTGCAAGGTTTTATAGGAATCGAATCCTAGTACACTCACGTCGAAATTAAGAATAGCTCAGTGAAACGGTAACGATGAAGATCTTCTCATGGAAAAATTCAGAGAGTTGGTTTCTCTACAGTTTAATATGTTTTTGGAGGTGCTGGATCTGAATATGAAGTTTGCAATCGAAATTTCCTGAAGCATTCCATGATATTCGCAAAAAACAGCGAAATTTTTGTACATATATCAGTGTTTCGATCATAACTCTGAAACTATACTTTTCAGCCGAGAGACCGCTTTCCATAAAGTTGAAGAAGATGAAATTGTCTATATTTAATTCTCCTTGCTCATAAATTTAGGACTAACGGGTGAGGAGCTAGAGCAAGTCAAAAATAAACCAAGTTTGCGTATTTTCCAAAAAATAGTGTTTTTCATTGGTTCTCGTAGATAATTCTTAACTGACGCATTTTTAGAAGGGACAAACTGAACTGGAATGTGAGTTATTGCTTTTGTCAGCGTATTACTCGATTCTTGATTTGTCACGGTTCCTAGGTATAGTGCACAAAAAACGGCCAGGAATGTAACTTTTGAATTATTAGAGATAGGGTTCTCAAAATTGGTAGGCAGCTAGTATACCAAATTGCTTATCAATTGACGAAACAATTCTCGTTCTATCATTTCTGGTCTCACTGGAAACAACCCCAAGTTTTGATTTTTTCAAGGGACACCTTGTATTGTATTCCATAATCGGTTAGGGATTATCATAACGAATTCGATATCAGGTTTGGAAGGATAATTCCAAATGATCACGCAGATATTCGCGTTCTAAGTTAACATATACTCAATGAGTGTGACAGAGAAAGAAGTTTTGATTTTGCCACACACCCACTGAGCATTTGGGAACTTCGAACGCAACCCACTAAATTTTCGGAACCATATCCCGAATCATTCAAAAGTACGACGAAGAAGCGACAATTAGATTGTAGATTATAGGATTTACCCTCATTCAATTATCTATTATATCCCTATAGATAACTGATGACACCTAATAGCGTTTTCCACTCGCCGATTTACAGAGCGCACTAGCACAGAGCAAATACAAGTGGTACTAGCTCGGATCTTCCATAAAGTGCGGTTCCAGCACAGAGCAGTGGAATAGAAATAGAGAGTTGGTGCGATCTTCTTATCATTAGAAATTTCAGAATAATTGTTTTGTCAATCAAAAAGTTGAATTATTTATTTATTTATTTATTCTCATATGAATACATTTACAAAGACATACATATTCTAATATTATAAAAATTCTAAATTTTATCTACTTCACATGGGTTATTGACCTGTGTGTGAATTAGATAATTATTATAAACTTTTTGTAAAAAATTTTCAAGTTCTTAAAAATATTTAGATTAAATATTGATTATAAATTCAATATATACAAAGCACACAAAAAAAAAAAAAAATTATTTGAAGAGATTATCAATTTCTTTTGCATTATCCAAAAACCAAATTTTAATTTTTTTTTTGAATGTTACAATATTCAAACGTCTCAATTTCGATGGAACTCTGTTAAAAATTTTTGACCCAATAAAACTACTATGGTTTTGCATGATTTTGAGATTATGTTTTTCAAATTATTGAAAGTATATTTTGGTTCTGTTGGTCCACATGAAATGGATTCATCTACCTCGTATTGTGGTTTCCCTGGGAACACTGCCAGAAACCAACAAACCAGAATCAGTATTATATATATGAATGTTCATTGTCAATGATGTTCAATTATTGAATCATTCGACAATAGTGATGTAGCATTGAAGTGTCGTTCACGAAGTTAGTATATTTTTCACCATTACACTGAATCAACAATCATATATGTTTGATACCTGCACATCTGAATAGCTGTCTTTAACTCTTAGGTAATGTTGAATCTTCCGTAAACGCTGTTTCGTAATGAAGTACTTCTCTATCTCAATCATAATTTTCTCATTATCGCTCATTATATCCGAAGTATCTATGATTTTGGAAATTATTGTGATAATAGTAATAAACTTCAATGACATTCATAATTATTCGAATCCCAAACATTTTCCAACTCGTGACTCGAATATTTGAGGTTATGTGTATCGCACCGTCGTACAAGCACAGTTCTGAAAACTCGAACTCTGAGCGGGCATCGAGCAAGTTTGAAAGCCAGTGGAAATCATTTCTAGACAAAAGTTCGCTCCTGAAATTCTCAGTGGACCACGCAAAACGCACTCAGTGCCGAAAAAGCTCGAGCTAGTGCCACGAGTGGAAAACGCTATAAGATTTTTCAGTTTCAGGTGATTTAGCCTTTATCGGATTGGAACGTTTCATCTTGAACAAAGTAGGTATGTACTTCACGGGTTTGGTCACGTTGTGACAAATGCAGCAAGTTTGAGTCTCCGCTAGGCTCATTTTTTTAATAATACCTCAGAGGGCGGTGCCTCAGCTTTGGTTTGCTGAGACTCAGTGGTCGTTGATGACCTTCATTGTTCAATCTCCCCATCTCCTCAGCTATGCGATTATATGACAGTATTCTGTCCCACAGAAGGTTTCAGGACCAATGAATAGATTATGCGTATAAGCGAAGATTGTTTCAATACTCATTTATCATGCAATGGATTATTTGTTTGAATAGTTATTATCTGTTTTTTATCGAGGTGCATGAAGAATACTTATCACTACACAGCATTAAAAAATGAAACTGTGATCTATTTATTCGAATCAGACATGTCAAAAATATAGGTAAATGGTAAATTAGACGAATCATACTAGTGTCTCCATGTCTGAGCGATCCTACAAATAGCCCTACCTACTCGCATATCAACAAACTCCACATGAGTTCCATAGTAAACTCGATGATCTTCCAAATTGTCCATGATCTGTTCTCTCGAGTAATACCTGGATCGTAAATTACCTACGAAGAACTGACCACAAACGCTATTTTTTGCAAATGACCTTCAATTTCAACTTGCTCTATCTCCTCAGTTGATATAGTACTACATCCACGAGTAAGAACATTGTATGTAATGTACTAGTCCGCCAATGGCTGACATAAAACAGGTCCACCTGATACTTGCTGAGGTGGATAACTCAACAGGGTGCCTGGTACCCTGAAAGATCATTTTCTGGGAGTGATGCGATGATGCAGGTGGGGCAGATCGTGTAGGGTTCTTTCATCCTCTATCTGGTGGTATGGAAGGAGAACTCGATTTTTTTTGTCTATCAAGGAATAACACGAGGCAGGTTTGAAAAATATCAATCTACCAAGATGATGTGAATATACCCATCAAGTACTGTGACAAATCAGTCATCGAGTTATTTGCTGACAAGAAAAATAACTCACATAGCAAGGAGTTTTCTTCACATCAAGTAATGTAGTTTTCCTTTTAGAAATAAACAGATTATGAATTATCAACGAGAACCGACGAGGAACGCTGTTTTTTGCAAAGTACGCAAATGCGGTCTATTTTCTACCTTCTCACCCTTTGGTCCTTAATCCATGTGAATATAAAATTTCATTCACTTCATTTCATTATTCATTCATTCATTAATGTATTCTATTTATTTATTGAAAATGTTACTTTCAGTCAGAATCAAGTTCTGGTATAATGAAGTATAGTTAACAATAATACCTAAAACTATACAATTATAATAAACTAATGAATGAAATAATATTTGAAAACATAAAGTATTAAATTTTGGTATTTGAATTTTATTCTTTATATTATCTGGTAATTTGTTATATTATGCGATAGTCTTCCCGCTAAAATGAATAGTTTTTGAGTAACTTGCGAAACACTGAAAAAAGTACGGATATTTTGCTGTTTTTTCACTTGAATTTTTTTCACGTGCAAATACCAATTCGAACTAGTAGTGGCATTAGCACAATGGTATTTGAAATGATGCGGTATAATGTCGCTGACACACTATTTTCAACCAGTATATGCTAGCCTGTTTTCAACTACTTACTTCTATATTAATTGAGTCTTCTTCGCATAATAATATATGGATTCACAATTTGAAGACGTATTGACTTCACTAAAAGTTATAAATAAGTGAATTTGAAAGTAACTTATTGAATCTATTATTTTTATTCACAACCATATATGTGATGTTGTCATTACTAACGTCATTGAAGGTTGGGAAGTGTCACATTCACCCCTCTACTTCCCGCCCTCACTTCCCGCTCCTCACTAATTCCCGCCTCCACTTCTCGCCCTCACTTATGTATTAATTCAGGTATGTTCAGAACGAAACATAGATTTATTGATTTTGATCGAAATATGATGGTTGTAAATAAAATAGTATACAAACCTCGGTAGGAAGTTTCATTTCTGTCTCGAGATTATAGCTAACCTCGACGCTTTGCGTCTCGGTTAACTAACTAATCTCACGACACGAATGAATCACTTCCCACCTCGGTGTGTAATATACTATTTCAACGTTGGAAACCGGTTTTTCCTGGCAGCTATTCTACCGTACATTGTGAAGTTGTCATTTCGTTGAAATAAAATGACATGTTATTGCTTGAAAGTATCAACGTTTGATAATGGTTTTAGTTCAACACAATATATTGAATTGTTGGAATTGAAACGTCTGAATATAACGTGTTTTTCTCTGTGACAGGAAGAAAGTTCGACATTTTATATCTGTCGACAGGTGACAAAATGTCACTCTTCATGCAATTACTCTTTTTCTACCGAAAAAATAATAAATACTTCTTTCCCAGATCATTAGGTGTACTGTGACTTTTGTTAATCCTGGTGCCGTAGTTTCGGAAAATAAGCCAATAACAACATCTCAGAAAGAGAACTGCAGTACATTTTTATCTTTTATTCAACTTCGGGGCTACGAAAATTACTGTACAACCACAAAGTTTGCCATTGTTTGAGATCAAATCACATAATCAACTCGATTTTTGATGACTTGATGGAGTATCTGAACCATCTGCCAACGAGACAGGCGATACAATGATGAATGGAAGAGAACATAATCTGGAGGTAAGTTGAATGGCTCCTAGGTCGAGAAGTGACCCGGAAGTGAAAGCTGAAAGATAGTTTGAATCAGTGCTGGTTGGACATATTGGTCTCAAATTCAAAACAGCCTCTACTTGAATGAGCGATGTATTGAACTCCTCATACGCATGGATTTGGTCCCCAATGACCTTACAGAGATGGGACATTTTCCATCAGAGGCATGAGAATTGGAGAAGAACCAACAAAGTTGGTAGCATTGTCACTAAATATGCATGATATTTGATTGCGACGGAATATAAACCGCCTCAACGCACCGAGGAAGGTATCAGTAGTTAGATCAGATGCAATTTCAGTGCTTTTGTCGTAAAGCATAGGAAATGAACAGATATGAGATTTTTGCAATTCAGATCCACGATATCTTCCTGAAGGAATTGTATAAGGACCTTCGAAATCTAAGCTAACGCGAGAGAAGGGTTCCAATTTGGTCACTCTCGGAGTGGGGAGACTAACCATAGGGGCTTGAACTCCAGTAGGATGTTAAAGCCAACAGGTAAGACACTCAGGGTATACATCTACCAATGATCCATTCAGCTGTCAAAATCAGGAATTTCTGAAGAAGAAGAGAATGTAGGAATTATGAACCAGGGTGGAGGTATTGTTTGTGAGTATTCAACGAAGATATATGTGAATCGATGGCGAATAGGCAATGGAATTAGATGTTTCTTGTCTTCGATAGGACCAGGACACTAAGAGACCAGCTTGGTCGACAAAAAGATTGAGCTCGAGCAATGACTTGCAAAGAGGCCATTTGTTCTCTGAATCAATGATTTCCTGAGAGAATTCTTGGGATTGAACATAATTCACAGGTTTTAACAGAGCTTGATGGGTTTCACGCGCAGTGAGATGAAAAAGAGTGCACTGAGATCTAAAATTTGTTTTTTTTTTTTTTTTAAATTTTGTTCTAAAATTTGTTCTATCCGTCATTCGGTTGCCCCCTTACGAGCAAACCTCAAAAGTCTTCGAAAGTCTTGTGCGAGCAAGGAATGACGGGGGCCTTACCTTTTAACGTGTGATCCCAAACACTTTCTTGGGCCATCAGAAAAATTTCTGCAGTCGACGGGGATCGAACCCACGACCGGCAAGCGAATGCGAATTAGAATATAGACACTCTGTCCGCACGGCTACCTGGCCACCTGGCCAAATCGTCAACATAAGAACAAGTCTCAACAGTTTCAACTGCAAGAAAAGATGCTGCAAGCTGCAAAAATGTCCTAATTGCTAGAAATGGCGCTATGGCAACATAATATCTAACGGTGTTCAATATGTATTCCTCAAGAGGCTGATCAATAGAAATACGCCAGAGAATGCGCTGATATGTCTTATCATCATCAGCCACCAATATCTGCCAATATATCTCGCGAACATCAGCTATGAGTGCTACAGAGCTGATATTAAATAATGTGAGCCAAATGTTAACGAGATTATTCTTCAGCTTGGGGGCTGTTCATAGCGTATAACTCAAAGAGGTGCCTTCCTATGTTTTTGCTGAAGCATCAAACACCACACGGAGTTTCGTACTAGTACTCTCTGGTCGTACAATACAATGATGCGGATTGTATCAAGACTCAGCCTCAATTTCAGGTGATTGGATGAGAGACATATGATCCTGTGCCACGTAATCGGCCATAAATTCACAGTACTGCTTGTGAACAGTGAGTTTGAGACGTAATCGACGTTCGAGAGGAAGACACCTATTCCTAGATATTTCGCTAGGGCCATCAGATGGAGGAACTGATGAGCGAATGGGGAGAGAGTCAATGAAATGACCAGCGGTATTTTTAGAAAGAGTCGAGGTGAGCTCATTATCAGCGTAACTTTTACATTTTCTGGGTTGAGACAGGAGAAAATTTTACTGTACCCATTAAAACCCAATCGAACACATTGTTGAGAGCTAGTGGTTCGTTTGGGTTGCCAACTATTCTTCATGCTTCCACAGCTAAAGGAAGAATATCTGCACTAAGTAAGATAACAATATCAGCAGGAATACTGAATTCAAGATCCTCTTGCTTTAAATTCGAAATGTGAGACCAAGAACCTTTTTCTACACATTGGCTTGGCGTGAAGTCACATATCTTCGAGTACGACGGCCTTGAGTCGCTAAACTGGTTGAAGGTTATAACAGGGGCGGATTTGTAGTGAGACCACCCTGGTCGCAAAAGAATTCGTAGAACTAATAGCTTGGATCGATAGAGTAATGTTATCAAGACATAATCCAAAACGAATACAGCCTGACTCACTGATTATGCTAACTTTCTGAAGAAGGCCCATCGCGTCCAGAACTTCGATATCAGTAGTTGACGAAAAATCTGTTATATTAGAAGATGAACAATTATGAGGAGTTACATTCCCTTAGGAAGTATTACTCGGGTTTTCAGGAACAGAGTGTGAAAATTGTTGAACATAAGACAAAGGCATGCATGAATCCTAAGCAACCACACCATTTCTGAGCTTTCACGACACTATGTCGTTCACGTGGAGAGAGAGCTAGAAATTAGGAACATCTATAGACAAGAAGATCGGCAGCATATAAACGACCAGATATTGTATCTGGACATGGAAAGGAGTACGTTTTGAAATAAAAAAATGATAATTTCAACACCCTGTATCTCCGAAACGAAGCAATTCCGGACACAAGTTTATATAGACTTTCTTCTTGAAATCGCCTCAGGAATACGTTACATAAATATTTTACACCCTGTATACAATTCTCCTTGCTCATGAATCTACACTGAAAGAAAATCGAATAGCGGTTATTAAAAAATTCTTGAAAAAATTGAATTAAATATAAATAGCCTTGCTGTCTTATAAAGGCTATTCAATTCAGTTTGCTTTGGCGACCCGATAACAGCAGTTACTATATGATTTGATGAAGCATGACATGAAGGCTACACCGTGAACGAATTACGGTCATTCATCAATGTGTTTTACTATAATCAAAGAGTATAATCTTGTTATTATCCGGAACCTATAACAGGCATTAAACCGATGTATCGAAATAATTAATGACCCTAGTTATTTCGAGTTGATAATTGAATATTATTTTTCAAATAATTTTCCAGAATAGGAAAAATCTATTTAGCACTTCTTATTTTTGGAGCTCTGTCAGTGAGAATAACATCCACATAAAAATCTTTCGAAATACTCTTGGAAACGAATTGAAAGTTCTCTAATGGGTAAAATAGTGTATTCTCAACATATTATTTTCTCCACTTCGTTTCCAAGAGTATTTCGAAAGATTTTTATGTGGCTGTGATTCTCTACGGTTGATAGTTATGATTCTGAGTTGTTTTGAGTGAGTGAGTGAGGTTTTGAAAAACGGATGGTTAGAAGTGTGCAAAAACTGGGATTGACCGAGACATTCAGGAGTGACATATTTTGATTTGAAATGTTGGAGTTATTTAATTTTCAACCACTTATCTTAACGTAAGGCATATTCAATTTTTTTTGTACATTATCAAACTTGTTTTTTCCAAAGTTCGAAAGGAAATGCACGAAGCACGAGTTTACCGACCGACTAGGCCGACCTAAGTCTGATAACTGACGAGGGGGTGTGAATGTGTCGGAGAAATTCTTGTTCGTATGTACTCGAGGACATTCGTCAACGATCGTCATTAAATTTTCCTATGATGGTAATTCGATAACAAGTAATGGTATTTTGATTAAAATCCACTCGTCTGTGTTAATTATCATAGGTTTAGATATTAATTGTCATTACAGGAAGTCCAATGAAGTTAATCGAAGTACTCCCAATAAAACGTCTCTAGTTATGGTAATTAGTCCTTGGCGCTATTTTTATACGTAACATGAGTGATTATGATTAGAAATTGAAAAACAGTCATTAACTCTGACATAACAAGTAAATTTAATGAGTGCTTTTTCCTGTACCATTATTTTCTTCAATTTAGGGTTATTATCCATTATTTTTCCTCTCACAAAAGAAAATGTTCCTTTGAGTAATAATCAGGAGATACAGAATTCATTTCCGTTGTTCGTAATTTACATATCTACCTGATTCAGGAGAGGTATCAGAAAATCGGAGAGACGAAAAGGAGCACTACAATCGAATCTTTGTGCGAAGGACAACCAGAAGAATGGGCAACTTACTTGAAATACGTTCGAAAACTGGAATTCGCGGAAACACCTGACTACGATTATCTACGGAAGTTGTTCAAAGATTTATTCGTCAAGAAAGGTTACAATGAAGATGGCATCTTTGATTGGTCAGGTATGAAATTATATTTTATGAAGATTATAGAAATATTGAATCTGCATCAGACACTTTTTCATATATGGAGAATATGTTCGATTTACATGATAATAGAAAAACAAGTTCCCAAAGAACCTATTCCTGCTGCATTCTTATTGTTCATAATTCATTAGAAGAGAATTAATCGATCGCTAGTCAATCACTAGTCAGGTCAAATCAACAAGGTGAGCAAAGACTCATCAACCTCTAGTTGAACTGTTCATCATTCTACAAATGTACTGTGACCGTACTGACTGAAGTATCTGCTAATCTGGCTGTATGAATGAAGTAAAATTTTGGAGTTGAACCAGGGCCTACTCTATCTCACCGGGCCGGAGCATCGCTTTCGTGACGTCACACTAGTAGGGACAAAATCAACGCAGTGGAAATTGTCTCTCCCGTTTCATTGATGTACCTCGGGAAAACGGTAACAGTTAGCAAAAAATATCAAGAGGTCAAATATGTACAGAACAGAATTTTCCAGAAGATGAATAATTTTTTACTGATTTACGATCATTAGTTTCAGAAATATCGCATATCAAAATCAATTGTCGCCATTCAGAATTGTCTTTTTTCAAACAGCTACCAAAATCCAAATATTCAATTCACAGAAATGATTCAATCATGAAAATATTTCTCATAATATCTGGATTGACTGAGTATTTTTTCAAATTCTCAAGGGCCAATAACAAACCGATATTTCAGTTCAAGTAGAACGATGATTCAGGTGTTCATTACAGAATAGTTCAAGAAGTTCGGACTTCTCCCATGCTAATCCTATCAACTGTGGATATATGCTGTCACTGAATTTTTTGTAGGAAATTTAATTGCCTACAAATCGGTATAATACACATCCACTTTATTTCGAAGGGTTTCAGCAGCGTTTATGTCTAAAGATGATCAGGACGCACTTTGATGACGTTAGAAATCCTATCACTCGAGTGTGTTATAACACAAAAACGCCTATTCGGTATTAATAATTTTCTGCTGAAGAGTATTCATTTCGAGACTAACGTAAAATTCATGAAAAAAAATTGATTTGGATATATTTTCAAACTCTCAAAATTTAAAAGAAGAAAATAGGTGGAGTTCATATTAACACAACGAAACAAAAATAATTAAAAAATAGGGATTTCAACAATGAGAGATATAATAATAAATATAACGAACTGAATAACAGAAAACCCAGAACCACGATATATAATTATGCGTATTGAATGAAATGCTCAGTACACTATATATTATGAATTGAATACTTGTCTCATTTCTTAATGAGACAATTTTCCCTTGTGATAATTTGATATTGTTAAATATTTATTGACCTATGTACATTTATTTATTTTTTATCCTTACTACAAGGTTAACTTCGTAAGGTTTTTCCCAGTTTATTCAAATTACCTATAAGTTTATTCCAATGTATATTTTGTAAACGTTCTTGAATAAACTTATATTATTATTATTATTATTATTATTTATCAATAAATAGGGGAAAAAAACGTTGAATCAAACAAAATGAACTGTTGAAGTGATCAATATAACAAAATTTTTAAAAAATTGATAGATATATCACTAAATGAAATGCACAAACTAAAAATTGAAATCTTGACTATATATCTCATCCTGAAAGTTTTGTGATTTCAATTTTTTTATTATTGGACTTGATCACACTATCTTTGATTTTGCAATAATTATTATTTGACAAATAATTCGAAATGGTTTCAGAGAATATTCTGATGATTTCATTAAAAGACCCACAACTGCAATATTGAATCTCGGAATAATTGAGAAGGGAATTGATTTTAATTGCTGCTAAATTTTTCAAAACTTTATGTTGGGACTCACATTGTAGAAATGTTGTTTCGAATTTTTCAGACACCAATATTCGTACGTCTGAACCATACGACATTCAGAAATAAAATTAGTATATAATGAAAATTATATCGTTTATCGCCCTTTACTAGTCCAAGGAATTACCGCGAAATCGTAATACAGCGAAATTTGGGTAAGTAGGTATAATGGCTCATTTTTTACGCGCTCTTTATATTCAATTTCTTTCGGACTAATTGTAGGTAACTCTACCATTTTTTCACTATTCAATTGATACATTATCCTAGTTTGATATACTGAGTTGGTTTTATCTTATTGCGATTCCAAATTTGCAAAAAATAGTATTCTGTAGTACAACGTCCTGATTTTCAATAAAATGGAATTTCTTTACAACGCCAGAACTCGTTATTGATTCATCCTATTGGATTCATTTTTTCACCAAAAGTTGGAGAATTCGTTGGGGATCATTTCGTTTCGATTGAGTGTGCTTCTAAAATTCATAGTAAATGAGCTATGGCCTATCAATTACGATCGCACCAGTACGAATAACTGTTGTGAAATCTCAACCTACTAGTGTGACGTCAGCGTCGACAGAGAGGGGATATAGTACGGCGCGGTGAGATAGAGTAGGCCCTGGTTGAACCCAAAGAAAATAACTGAAGCTGAAAGGATATATTAATATGGATTAGTGGTGCCCGCGAGAGTCTCGTTTTCGAGAGTCTCGCATGGTCTCGTCTCGTTTTCGAGACAAGACTCGAGACGAGACTCGGACAAGACGAGACGAGACTTTTATTGGTCTCGTCTCGAGTCTCGTGCAAGACTTCTCGTGTCTCGTGCGAGAGTCTCGCAGGTAAATATTTCTGCGTGCCGACTGCAGACTTGAGAATTTCATTCATAATAAAACATATTTAGAAAGAATTCTATAAGAAAACATCTAATGAATCTGCACGATGTTTGTTATGTCCTAACGACTGGGTGAAAAACAAAAACATTTGCGATCGTGAAGGCTGATCTGACTGATAAAAGTTTTTTCTCTAAGTGGCAGGGATAGTGGCTTTTTCCTGCCGCTTAACAGGCAGAAAAGGAGTTCTTTTACTGCTTAGGCAGAAAAAGTTTGTTGCTATGCAACGTTCCAAGAAATTCTAATGAAATTAGTAATCAAAATTGACACTGACATTGGGTGAACACAATTTGAAAAAAATTTCACGAAATTGGTTCAATATCATTTGAAGAAAAAATTCTGTTTCACACGGCAGCAAATGTAGATTTACTACTTTTCTGCCTAGTAAAACAAATAATTTTTCTGTTGGATACCTATTTCTCAAATAAGTGAAATAATGTTGGATCTGTTTTGTTTATTTGTTTAAAATATACGTGTTACTTTTTATTCTATTTTCATAACTTTCGAATATATAATGCTATGTTTTTTTTTTCTTGTTCAGATGTATGATGTAAGTATGTACCTATTAGGTACTTACTTTTCAATAAATAATGTTATTTTTGTTGTAATTTTCTCTTCCTACTTCTACATTATTCCTAAAAAGTAGGTAGAGATTAATATCCCGTACTAGACTGGAACAAGATTATGCATGACGAAATTGCGATACCTTGCGAGACTCTCGTACGAGACGCGAGACAAGACGAGACTCGGTGCTGCGAGACGAGACTCGAGACAAGACTTCATATTTCATCGGCGAGACGAGACGAGACTTTATGAAAGTCTCGTCTCGTTGGTCTCGTGTGAATCACTAATATGGATTGTTAGTCATTTTCCCAAGAAATAAACCACACAAACCGGATCAAAAATAAGTTGACTAGGTAATTTTCCTCGAAGTGTATTTCAAACTATGAGGTAATAGATAACCAACTACATAAACCAGCTCATTGATGTAGTTCACAAAGTAGTTGGGGCTTTTGATTGGAACCTTGATTGGACTCTTATTGTTGTTATAATAATCTGAGGTTATATAAGTGATATAAAAATTAGTATTCTTCCTAAAGAGATAATGATTAATTCATATGAAGTATTTTTTGATGAGATATCTCATCATATCATTGATGAAGATGAATATAAGATTCATTTTGAATATCGAGAGGAATATGTACATAGCGAATTGTTCAGTTTTTTTTGTATTCGAAGTAGGTGATAACCTAGTTTCTATCTATGATATATTTTTGTTACGGATGATGAATTTCTCATTCAACAATATAGAAAAACAGCTAATAAGCTGACATCTTCCAAGCTCATGAAGATAACCTGGTTTGTCTGGTTAGTTTCGAGTAAAAATGTCTCATGCTGACAAAGTAAACATAGATATTGAAGGTTACCTCCGAAAGGATTCTATCACCAATAAGATAAGATCTTTTGAAAATCACGATAACCAACATTTTCGCATAACTCGGAACTACTTAGCTTGAACTCTTGAAAATAGATATGCAGTGTGTGCCTCAACGCGATTACGCGTTTCAACTTGTGATCAATTGAACCACAATATTGACATCCTCATAGCAAAAAAAGTATCTCCTATTATTGGTGCTTCAAGAAGATGTCCTGAACTTAGTACATATACACATCAAATATTATTCTCTATTCACATATACTCAGTCGAATCAACTTTCTCATAAATATTTGGTGATCTTGTTCCTAAAATTGTTTCAACAAAATTTTTGTTCTATATGAAAAGGCATTAAAAGTATTGTATCGTCTTCCATATGATACTCCGACGAAACAACTGTATAAGGAAACAAACACATTTACTTTGGAAGAGCACTTTTCAATCAATACTCTCAAAATTTCCTATTATATCATCAACAAAAAGCTTGAATCAAATTTTATATTGATTAGGAATTACGAAATTCATGATCATCACACTAGACAATATAACTGGTTTCAGCTTGAAGCTGCAAATTCTGAACTTAGATAACCAGATGATATCAAAAACAGACCAAATATTATAAAATTCAAGAATGAAATGAGGTAATATATGGGTAATATATTCATATGCAAAGGAATGATCAAAGCTGAAAGACTATGAATTTCCTTTTATTTTCACTGCTTTTCGTTTTCTTTCTTGTTCACTATAATATTTTTTTATTCATTTTCAAAATAACATACATATCAGCGTACTATATCTATAATAATATACATTTTT